CTTTCTCATAGCCCTAACAACTCAGAGAATTTTAGGCAGAAATATGAATGTTGGATGAATTTGAACATGAAAAATGAATGTAGTATTGCTATTTGGCAGATATGAAATCATACCAGATTAAGGAGGGTAAATTTCCTTCGAAGGGAAGACAAGAATACCGTGGACCATTCAACTGGCATTTTAAAAATATGTTCAACACAAAAAGCACAAACTTTACCAAAAGACACAACACAGAACTATGGAGCAGAACACGGAGGAACAACTCCTAATACCTCACCGACTGTGAATCATAAGGTTGGAGAAGGGCTCGAAGGCCATCAAGTTCAATACTTGCTTGATGCAGAACATTTAAGCCTAGTTTCCCTGACATATGGTTGGGAAGGCTTCCAGAAAAGAGTTCTCATGTAATATGCCTTGTTTATTTGTATATGTTGATGAATTAAACATCTTTGCCCTCTTGTCTCTGACAGCCCTTCAAATATTTGAAGAGTGCCATAATGTTCTTCAAATCTTCTCCAAATTAAACATACCCAGTGTCTTCTAACATTAATCACCGGTTTTTAATCGCTGTTTCCCTGCCTGTCTTTACTGTCTGTATCTGTTGTCCATCTCTTTCTTGAAGAGTGGTGCCAGAACCAGGCTTACTACCCCAGGTGAATTTTTCACCCATGACAAGCAGAAATTTTCACCTATGCTCACTCTTTGTTCCTCTCCCCCTCCCCCCTCTGACCTTAATTCATGAAAATGAATTAAAATTCTGGAAGTGTGTGGCAGAATGAAAATGCAGAGTTTATTTTGTCAGCTACACAGTATTTCACAACAAATCAAGCACTTTACACCTTTTTGCTCGAAAGCCAAATTCACTATAGGGTCCATGGTAAACCCCTTTCAAATGCACACAACATTTTATTATTATTCATATGCTTCCCTTATCTTATAAACTAGTGATTCTTAAAACAATATACAGATCATTTCCCCCTGAAACCTTGTTTTAAATATGAAAAGCTTCCTCCAAAGGAAGGAATCCAGATCTGTATATGCAGTACTTGTTGCAGCAGAGATATAGGCCATAAGACAGAAAAGGAATAAAGCAAGTCACATCATTTAGAACAGGACAGCATGGGAAAGAAAACATTGTTCATTTGCATATGCTAATGAATGAAAAATGTAAACTCACCTATGCTTGAAGAATGTTACAGCTGATACTAAAGCTAAGTATGCTATTAAACACATGCTCAAAACACTCAATGACTGGATGAATTTCAAACCAACTAATTGCTTGGCATCCTGTTCCCATATGAAAAATGATATTAAACTTTCAAGTCTTTCCAGCTTTCAGAAACATTTGAGATATTGCTTTTTAGTGGTTCCCCCCACACACACACACACAATTCATGTTGTGTACAGCTATGGACTGTTTCAAATAATGATTGTTTTTCTAAAAAAATGTCCTAGCAAATTAAGCTAATTTTCATAGGGTCATTTACATCACAAAATGTTCTGGTGCCCTAAGGAATGAATAAACTTAACATGTTTCTATTACTTGTATTTCACAAACAAAACCAAAAAAAAGATTAACTTATGATACCAGAAATAGTTCAGGAGAAAATTGAAAGCACATTTACTGCAATTTGAATGTTATTCCAGTAAAAATGTGTAAATAATATATTTTTGGAAATTTAGAGATATGTAAGGGCATGTGCAGTAATATTTCCCTTATAGTGTAAGCCACTGTGACTGGCCATAGTCCTCTGAATGTGGAGGATCAGTGGCATCCTATTATCAGCAGGAACAGTATGAAAGTCAAAGGCTGCCTCCATGCTTCTCCTGCTCTACAAAAGCCTTGGGCAGCCAACTTCAGTGATCTAAGTCTTATGGCCTAGCTTATAAGGAACAGCAACAATATTAGGACCCACACACCTTGTCCTCAATTATAATGCAGAAACAAAGAACCTTGGGGTAAGCAAGAGCAGTTTGCCTATGTAAAAAATGTGACCTCCATACAGTTCTAGTGCTCAAAAACAATTCTTTTGCACCACAATCTAGCTAGTAGATTGAAAAAAATTAATTAGATGCTACAAGTCTGACGTCTGCCATTTCCAGTTTAGAATGTTCCAGCTACCTCAAATACATGCTCCCAATCTTGTTGGATTGTTAATTATGAACACTGCAAGTATTATTATCCCTGTTTTGGAAATAAGGTACTGAAGTTGAAAGATAGCAACTTATCTAAGGCTGCACAAATTCATGGGTGAGGTATCATATGAACCAGGAACTTCCTGCTCTCAATTCACTCTTGGCCATCAATTAGTGTTACAGCAGCTCCTATCTCATCTTTGTGCTTCGTTCACATGCACACACAGCAACTAGAGGTTATTTTAAATCTCTTCATATGGTCTTTGTCCCTGTGTTCTGAGATGATGATGTGGGGAAGAAGAACTCATATTCCTGTGGGGAAGTGTTGGATCCATACAGTGAGATGCTGCACAGAGATCGTCTGCTATATGTGAAGGCCAGCACCTGGTTCAGATGAAAGAAATCTCCAGGCTGTGGCTATAACATAGGCACCAACTCTGAGACTTTCTAGGAAGTTACTTGCAACATTTATATAGAACTTTAAAGTTAAGAATATAAGAAGAGCCCTGAAGTTAGACTAAGGGCCCTTCTAGTCTAGCTTCTTCTTAACCACTCAGTGGCTACCTCGGGGAGTCTTAGAACCAGGAGATGAAGTACCTAGTTTGATTGCTATTCCCCAAGATCTGGAACTGAGAAACATACTCTTTCTAAACACAGGCCATACACAGTGCTTTTTCTTCTTCTTCTAAGTCAGTGGTCCCTAAAACTCTTAAGCTGAGTAGCTCAGCAGGTAGTATTACTCCAACAGGTAGGCTGGTAAACACAAGAAGCCTGCCTAGAGCACTACTTTGTGAGTTCATGAACTCAGTCAAGTTTTCAATTAGGAGCTACCAACTTATAGCTCTTGTTCCAACCAAGGAATACTAACCCTCAAGAGCTGCTGGCTGCACATCTGCCCAAGTACGCCCCGATATGAATATAAGCAGGTCTATGGGTCAGATCTACTGCTTCCACTAGTAGTGGTGTTTCCATTAGTAGTAGGCCCAAAAAGGAGGCATTCCAGGAGCTGAGCAGAGGCAACCATGCATCCAAGTCTCTTTCATACCCATCAAGAAGACCCAGAACTACAGCCTACTTCGATGCCAGTCCAGCGCTAAAACCACAGTCATGCTAGAGATGCTGGACAAATATGACCACCCCCTGCACTTCTGGGGGAGCTTCTCTCTACCAAATGGTCGCCTCCACTCCATCTTAGTTCTCCTACGGCAACTGGGACTTAGTTCATGAGCAGTGCAGATCACATCCTTGTTAAAAGGAGCACAGCAACCACTGTCAGGTCCACATTGTCCACAAATAAATTTCTATACTTGGATCATATGGCCTGGATCCATATTGGCTGTGCTATTTTGCTAGGGCTGCCAACTGTAATGGCCACCCAGAGAGTGTGATGCTAATGGGCGGCCTTTAAACAAAATAAATAAATAAACTGATGAAACAACTCTCAAGTTAATCATGTGAGTTTTGATCAATTAAGCAAGTAATTTAATATATCTACATATGAATAAAAAGTTCCTAAAAAGAAGAGTAAGAGATGATACAGTTAAGCACCATGGGGGAGGGGAATTCCTCCTATAGGCAAGAAAACAACAAATGCTTCTAACATGGAGTCCAGCTGCAGTATTTTTGTAAATATTAATTTGTAGCTTAAGAAATGATTACTTTTTAAGCTTTCAAAACGTTTTAAACTAATTTTCAGTGAAAAGCTGCAGCTGTAAGATTTTAACCTCTGAACTGTAACACGCAAATTCTGCATTAACCAAAATTACACGAGCAGATAACAGATTCTGTTCATGCGACGCGGAAAATGATCTCGAGTCAGACTTTCCTGTCTCTCGAAACAAGAAACATGGTTTCATTATTGGCGTTTTATATGCCCCTCTTCAGTTGTTGATGTTCTTTCAACGGCAAATCAACCTTATTATATTCTCTATTTTCAGGGGCCAAGCCTGACTCATCTCCGCGGAAAAAAAAAGTGCATCCATCTTACTTTAAGTGTCTCTTTGCTTGCCGAATGCTAAGCGGTTAGACGCCATGGGGAAAAGCATGGGTGTACGGACTTAGGGAGTGGCCAAGATGCAAATCTTTCTAGCTTTCTAATTTCCCACTGACTGCAAGCAGGTATGGCAGCGTGTTATCAAGTGTCAGATCCATGCATATGGTAACTTACCCCACCGCATGCAGCCTTGAAGCTGCACACGCACTATATTTAAACGATTACCCCTCCCCCCGTGTGTGTTTTAAGTGCCACAGCTCACGAGATTCGATTTCAGTTTTAGGACGCACTTAACACTTTAAACAAAACATCAAGCAATAGGGGCAGTTTAAACACACACACGTACACAAAACTGCCAGCCTACTCTGCTCTTTTCCTGCTGGGATATCTTGCAGGAGGAGGAGGAGGCAGGGAGGGCCTTGCCTACTCAGTCCTACATACCGAAAGTGAGTGAACTGCAAACTTAAAAAGAAGTTGAGTTTGTAGCTTAATGCAAGAATGGAAGTTGTTAAGCGTTCGCCTACCTGGTGCAAGTCTGCAACAAGTGCATGCAGGATCCGAGTTCGGTGTGGGCGCATTTCCCCCCCTTTTTTTAAAAAAGCCACCGGCGGGGAAATTGCAATGTTAATTTATTACTGTGCTGCTATTTACACGGGTCCTACTTTGCTTACAGTACAGCTCATCCTGTAAACAAATATCGCTCCGCCAGGAAATAAACGCACCCCCCCCCGCCGCTGCTGCCTCCCCCCGCCCCTGTGCAACCTATCCTCAGCGATTACCCGGGGGGGGGGAGTGAAAGAGAAGGGTGGAAATAACTAACCCCAAAGCCATGCCAAGCAAAGGAAAAAAAACTCAAGGTAACTGGACTTACCTTGTGCATGAGATTCCATGCACATCTCCTTCAAGGGGGCGCTGCCCCCCCCAATCTGTGGTGCAAAATTCCACTGTCAGCAAAACGCTGTCAAATTATTTTCGTGCAAAGGGGGGGGGGAGAGAAAGCAGAAGCAAAAAGGGGAGGAGGCTTAAGGAGATCCCTCCGCCGAGATGGGTCTGGTCCTGAGTTTGCAAACCAGGAAGTAAGGTGACAGTAGCAGCAGTAGTAGAGCGGGTGGCCCCACGCCCGGTTGTCCGGTCTTAGGAGCGACCTGCGCCTTTCCGTAGATTGGGTTAGTCACCGGGCGTCGTCCCCACAAATATAGTGGCAGCTCTTCAGGGAATTTAGAGGTGCTGTTTGGATCTCCCCAGTTTTCCTTTCGAAAGGCTGCAGATTCACGACACGTAACGGAGTCCCCCTCCCCCCGCTTCTATGGCTCTCCAGCCGGTCAACGGCCCCGGGCCAGATTGCCCTGAGCAGCAAGCGGTCTCCCTCGGATTGCGTCGCTTCGGGGCACCAAGACCCCCAGCCACACTCCGAGCTCGGTGCATGTCGAAAGGACTGCGTGCATGGCGCGCCGTTTCTTCCTCGGGCGGCTCGTAACTCGGATTTTCAAAGGGGCCCTGCTGGATCCTTCTTGAATCCGAGGAGTTGGGCGCGGTGCAGGTTTGGGTTACGTTTCTGAAGCAATGAGAAGGCGGGGGAGGGCGTGCGTTTAAGTACATCCTGAAGGCGACATAACAGGCCGACCGTATGCGTGTTTACTCGGAAGTAAGTCCCGCTTGTACGCAATACGATTCAGTAGTCTCAGGTAAGTGTGAAATATTGCATCCTGGAAAGCCACATACACAGTGCCCGATATTCTCAAAGATGGATGGGGAAGAATGTTTAGATAGCAATCCTAGGCACGTTTACCCGAAAGTAAGCCCTATTGACTCTACTTCCGAGTAAGCATACAGAAGATCAGGCAGTAAGAAAGGTCCTAGAAAGCTTTGGCTTTCCACTTGCACCCTCCCAGGTAGAATCCGTGAGCATATGGAAGGTGCTACTTTGCAATAGGGTGTGGGCTGCTGTATTGTGTGTCTTTTTCTCCCTTCCACAACGCCATAACTGCAAAACGTGGGGAGGAAGGTGGGGGGGACACTCCTCCTGGGAGTGCCCCCAACTGGCTTTTGATTGGTGCTGTGATCAGACGTGAGCCCGCTTGTTCTCCTCCCTCCCCAGCACTTCGCAAAAAAGAAACGTACATTTTTTTTTGTTGCAGTCAAACATATCTTTAAGAAAAAAAAATCCTGTTAAGCCTTTTGCAGGTAAAAGCAAACACTTCTCCAAAGAGTGGAGCATTCAGCTGGAAGGAACCAAAACCCCAGCATGCAACTCCCACTTTTACAAAGGTTGACAGCCCCCCCCCCCCCCCCGTAAAGCTGAACCTTTCTTGAAGAATTCAATTACATGGTTCACACAACATGACAGGCCAGAGTATATGTTGAGTATGAATTGAGTGTGGCTTGTGTTGGCTTACCTGAACCACATTAATGATCCTAGGTTTATTAACCATAAGCAAATAACAGTTTACAACCCAACAACATACTATGCTTTTCATCTGCAGTTGTTTGTAGAAACCAGGGTTTGTTAGCATGATTCGGTTCACACAACAAACCACAATTCAACAGTAACCACAGTTGAATAACAGCCTGTACTCTGGTTTGATGTGTTAGGTGAACCCAGTCAGTGGTGAGCATCATTTTTGTGAGTGAAAAATGCTCTCTAATGGCATCTTCATGTTTAGGAAAATGGTCCTTCCACTAACTTCTTGTTGGTGTAGAAGTCAAAAGCACAGGAGCCATTTTGGAGACAAAACATTGGGATGTTTACATCGTTGAACCACTGCTTGGGGTGTTTCTGCCAGTCTAGAAATTGTGCTTGTGCGTGTAACTAGCTGTAACTTGGGTTTGATTCCTGTCTGCATAGTCATTAATTAATAATGTTTGACTGGGCCATTACATTTAGGACCGATGTTCATGTATGTGTGAACATGGTGATATATCTTCAGTATATCAGTTTACAAATTTCAGAGAAGCTTTCTTGAGGTTTTTATAGATTATTGCTCTAACCTGTAATAACCAGATATTCTAAAATGCTGTAATGAGATTTGGGATGAGTTTAGGTGACCTTTTGGGATGTCTTTCAACTATGTGATTCCTCACTCTACCCACAGAAATCTTAAGAGTTATCAGAGTCAATTGCCCTGG